GCCAACATTTCTGGTAGAGGACGATGCTATGAAGCAAGAACTGTATTTTTGGGGGGGGGGGGGGNGGGGGGGGGGGGGGGAGCACATTTATAGGCACCTGCGCAGCTCACTTATTGAATAAAAGGTCATTCGCCTGCCGGTTTACTGTCTTTATGCAGTGAGGTGTATGGCGTGACTGATGGCACGTCTTCAAATTTCCTTTTACCTTTCACCAAGAGACGGGGGTTAGTTTTAACAGATTTTGACAGCTTCAGTCCAACCTGCCTAAATAGTTGTCACAAGATAACTAGGATGTCATCAGGGGCTTTTTTTGTTTAAAGGCTATTTTTGGCAAGGCGCAGTGTAATCACTGATGCTCTTAATGCATTTTACTCTGGCGTTAACGGAAATAATGACCACCAGGCTTCGAGCCAAAAAAAAAAATGAGTGGATTAAATGCATGCAGAAGTTTTAAACACAATAAAATCCCTCTTAGCTTCATTATCGTTCTGTGGTTATTAGATCTATATATAAATGTAATGTATCCACTTTCTGTTTGTTTTCTATGTTTTCTAATTTCTTCTTATTTTCAATGTGCATGTTTTCTCATTTCAAATTAGTGTGCATGGTCACCAATTTGCCTTAAACTGAAATATAGGTCTATATTTTTTAAACTTTTCAAAAAATAATTTCTTTCGAAGACGAAGTTTAAGCGCAATAAGAAAAGAAAAAAAAATATATTCTTAAAATTCATTAAGTATTTAATTTTTTTAAGTTAAAATTTTTTTTTTTTTACTATTTATTAGGAAAATTTTAATCCGTAAGTTTCCACAAAAGAATATTTTTTAGCAACGAATGCTTATAAATCCCGGGTATGGTGAATTAGCTCTTTACCCAAAGCGTAAAACTATACATTTATATTTAACGACGGCTTGCCGTCCAATTGATCAGATTCTAATTGCTGAAATGCCTTGCCATACCATCCCAAAACCCAACAGTTGGGACTGATGGTTATTGTAAGCGAAGGGGTAGGGGTTGGTTTTGTAATCACCCTTTTCTTATTTTTCAAATCCCTCACCACCCCAAGACCACCCCCGTCACTCGACCAAGCATACCGGGGCTGTAACACTGTGTCGTCAACCCAGACGCACGAGGAAGACTGAATCGACCGAACGAGAGCGTCACGTGTGTCAACAACAAAAATTCCGCAGGACAGACATACAAACGAGATGGAAAGGGGCGTGGAAATAACGTCTTTGAAAAGCACAATCCCTGCGAATACCACCATCCCTGCGAATAGCACCTTCATATGTGTCCATAACGAGAATTTGCGTGGTTTTCAGATATCACTGTATGTTGTTTTCGTTATCAGTCGATGAAGTCTTTATTCACATCTCTTTCCATCTGATTTCCCTCGCCAGTTATCAACAAATGGATCCTTTCTTTCGGTAACACGTTCACTCGTCGATGTGGTCTGAGGAGAAATGCAACGCAGTTGGACATTGATCCATTCATGTCACGTAATTTCCGGCCGAGACGAAGAAGGCAGAGGAGAAGAGCAAACTGATATACGTGTATCTTTATTTATTAATAAAACGTATCTGCATGTTGCAAATTAATGGATTCTTTTAATGACGAGAAGCTCAAGGAAGTTAATTTAATTTCATTATGATATAACAAAAATAAATAATAAAAAAAAGTTTTCATTTAATGAACTGTTTGTTTTGACTATAAATGCTTGTTTTGAATAGCTATTTCTGGCGGCAGGTTGTCTAGGGCAGGTCTGCGCAACTCAAAATGTAAGGTGGGTCGTAATACTTAATGAAAAACTTGTGCGGGCCAAAAGAAAATAGGACAGAACTTGTGCGGGCCAAAAGAAAATAGAACAGGGGAGAAAACTATTAAGAAAATAATAGAATAAAGAATATTTCGTTACTTCACGGACCGCAAAGTGGTTGCTGGCTGGCCACATTCAGCCCGCGGGCCTATGTTGTGCAGGCCTGGTCTAGGGGGTCCGGTCCCCTATTTATCAGTCACATACACATCCTGGACAAGGTTGACGTGGAATGAAGGTAATATTATGTGATGGAAATGCGTTCAAGCCGTGTGAAGGAAAATGAAGGAACAATATACTTCTAGGTTTGACATGAAAAGACAGGACAATTAAAGGGACGTTTCGGCTAGATGCCTACTTCGGCAGACGACTCAAAACAAGAAAGAGCAGATAATTAGAAATTTTAAAAAATACCAAAAGTATGTGTTCGAAGAACTCAATAAAGTCATTGGTATGTCTTACGAGCCGGAATCGCTCATTTAGAAACGGAAGTAAAGTTGCTCAAAACCAAAATGTGCGTACTACTTAATTAAGCCGGTGCACGCTATCAAGGAGATTACACAAGGTAAAAGATTTTAAATATGAAGATACAAATGGCATTTATAATGAATTTATTTGGACATATTTAGAATTTTGTTTTATGGAATGTAAAGTATGCGTCTTTTTATATAAAAAAAACAATTTCCGAGAAAACCTTCGACAAGATTGTTACCGTATCAAAAGCTAAATTTCTTCTTTATTAAATTGACAAAGAAATCGATTTTTTAAGAAAAAGTTAAGGAGAGAGAGAACAGATCAACAACTGTCACGTTAGTTTATTATTATTATTTTTTAAAATATATAAAGCATTAAATGGGCTTTTATTTTAACAGTGTAATGAGACGAGGCCCGCGAAAGGTTTACATATACTGTGAATGCTTTTCGGTTGCCACCTCCCTTTTTTTATAGCTTTCATCCCAATAACCCAATTACTATATATATATTTTATTCTATCATTAAATCAAAGTTTGTCCCAGGTAAGAGTTCTGAAGCTCCTATGTGGATTTTTACACACCTGACCTGATTTTAGTTGAGGTCAGTATGATTGGCATGTATCTGTACTGACGTGTACTATATATAAGTCTTTGATTGTAATACTAACTCACCGCAGACATGTCATACAAGCCTTTGATTGTAACATTAACTCGCGCAGAAGACATGCCATGTGGGTCTTAGATGAAAACACAGTCTATACAAATTTCAAGCCCACCCTTAACACCAAAAATTTTTTTTCTCCTGTTTTTTTCAAGGGGAGCATGAAGGAAAATTCACATGGATGCCCTGTTTGTAGGAAATTAGATAGACGAATACGCGGCTGGGGAGAATGGTGAGACCAAGAACACATACAAAACATGTCAGAGTCCAGTTAGTAGTGGGGCTTATGTCCACCCATTGGGTTTTGATTGCCGGGAGTTTAATGACCACCATTCCAACGTGGGGTCAGCTCTAAAGGAAAAAAATATTGATGGCGTTAGTTGTGGCTTATAATTTTTTAAATAAAGTTATTCCAAATTTGTCTTTAACTGTTTTGGTAGACGAAAACCTATATTCACTTGCTGCCCTCTAGGATACTACTTTTCAGATAAGTGCTATTTTTAATTCTTTTAAATTTATTTTGTTTTTTTTCTTCTGTTTTTTCGATGATAAAGGCTTCCTGTCAACATGTTTGTTGTTTTGTTGCGCTCCTTTTTTCAGTTTTAACCTTAATTTGTTTTACTAATTTCCTATTGTGCATAAACACAGACAGGCTGAGAGACACCTAAATTGTTTTGCTCTCCCATTAGGTGTGGAGTGGCGCAAAACTAAATTTAGGTATTCGCTAAAATGAATCATTTCATTTTAAATTTAATCAATACTCTCCGTGGAAAGTCTCAGTGACGATAGGCACTCCACAACCCTTCCACCTCGCATTTACTTGGGAGCCCATCATGCGCTCGATTGCTGCCCCCCTCCCCCAAGCCATCGATGGGACAGTACGGGGGCGAAACTATGTTGGGGCCGAAAAAATATCCTAGAGCAAGCTACAACCGCAGTGAATTCAAGTTATGTGTGACACCTGGTGCCATAATACCCAATTTTCGGTCTGATAGAAGTCCTGCCCCCCTCCCCTGAAATGTCCAATCTCTGGATACATTTTTCTGAAAGAAACACTGAATTTAGGTATACTATACGCCAAACTGTACCCTTTATAATTTTGTATATATAGTTGGGCTATGTAGATTCTAGGGATAAAACTCAGCTGGAGCCAAATGCATACCCCCAACTAAACTGAATCTAGTTTATGTTGGGTGAAGGAGTGGAGTCCTGGATCTCCGTTATATCCAGTGGCGTAGCTAGGGTAAGTGTCACCCTAGGCGGTGGACCACCCCCCGCCCACCATTGTGGACCATTCTCTCTGCCCACCATTCCCACGCCACTGCTACTGCCCACCCGAACATCTGAAATGCCCTCCACGGAACAAATTGTCTGACAGTGAAAGCTATAGGCTTGCTGCCCAGCGAAGTTTCGAAAAATACAAAATAAATGGTATGTTTACTTTTTTTTCCTTTCCCATATTAACTTGGTTACCTGAAGAAATTCAAAACCAGGCAATTGGGGGGGGGGGATTTTTTTTTCTCCCATTCTATCTATAGACTGGAAACAGTTTCCCCCCCCCCCCCCACTTTAATTTTTGTAGAAGCCATTGCACCCACCGCACAAGAACATTTCGTATTAGAATCGGTCTCATAGGACATCTGCGCACCCACAGATAGAATCAGAACCAGAAGAAACCCGATGATTATAGTGCTTTTGATCGATTTCGAAAGACGAAATAGCAAAATAAATCGAGCATGAAAATTGCGATTTAACCCCCCTGCAGCCCCCCTCCCCCGCTTCCGCACATCACACACATATTTCGCACGGTTGCTCTGGTATTTGCAATACCCATAAGCAATTTATTGAAATTAACAAAATATACAATGTAAATTTTAGGAAAAGAAATGAAAGCCACTAAAATTTTTAGAAAAATAGAATATTTTCAAGAATGGTGAAGACGACCCACTGAATAGACAGTAAGGCGCTTATTAATTTTCTAAGCGATTTCCGCTTATAATAATGACAATTTAAATCTTGTAATCGACTTAATGTAGGCAAACACTGAAACTGAGAATTTTACTTTTTCAAATACATTACTCACTCTAACTTTTAAAATATGCAATTTTGGCTGCCAGTTTTTAATTTTTTGCTTTACTAGTTAGGACAAATTAAAGCGTAAGGTCATTAAGGCTGTCAAATAACATTTGGTTATAGGGGGGGGGGGGTTGAGAGACAAAACCTAACTGCTAAGTTAAATAGTAGTTAAATAGTCACTATTTGAATTTGTCTTGATATATAAAAATGAATTATTTTTAATTATTATCATTATAATATACACTGGGAAGACAGCACTGGCAGGAAAATTGGGAGTAAAGCCAAATACCCTCTATATATATATGTGTGGACTAGTCTATGTTTATTCACATAGCATAGATAGAGTGTGACATTAGTATAGGCTATAACTATAGGGCCTTTAAAGTTTATAGAGTAGGAACTGTTGACCATCATCCACATTTTATTACTAAAAAAAAAATTTATGCATCACACAATGTCAAAATATGTGATGCTCCTCCCCCTATTATATGGGGGAAAACATGGATGGCCCCCTACTACTGCCCTACTTTTCATGTTTAAGTTAAACATGATTAATGATTGCTAGCATAACCTAATCCCATTTCTAAATTTATACGAAATTTATGCCAAATTTATATAGGGTTGCTCATAAGCCAAATGCATACATCACTATATTTAAATAGGTATACTTCTTTTGATGACTTTTTTTTACTTTACTTACAAACTTATAGACAATTATTCCTGAGAATAACCTAATATTTCCACACAATTTACAGAATGTCTCTGTAAATTGTGTGGAAACATTAGGTTATAAAAAGGGTAATCTTTTTTCTACCACCTGCACTAATATCTTGACACAGCAATTCAGGTTCTGAGATAATATGAGCCAACTTGCCTCACTCAGTAATCTTGTTAAAAGCCTTTTTAACAAGTGATACTATTTTGGGGTTTCAAATTATACACTTTTTATATTTGGCCTTCTGAACAACCGTAAGATGCACATAGTCGCATAATTATTTTGTACCATTCTGATTGGTTAGTGATTATGTGCTGCCATCTCCAAATGTTGATAGTTGCTTTAAGAACAACTAAAACAAAGAGAAAAAAAAAGACTTTTGATCTTGTAAAGTTTGTTAAATTGTTGGGTTGGTACAGAAAGACTGTACATTAATAACCAACACTATAAATCATGAAATGAGGTTAATTCTTTTAAAAACGTTTATTTATTTCATAGATATATATATTATATAAAGTTCAACATTAAATACAAAATTGTACCCAATTCAGAAAATCTACAATTTTTTTTTGCCTAGCTATTATATTTTGTGGACTTACTGTTATTTATATTTGCATTCATTAAACAAAATAATTTTTTCAGGAAATCGAGGGGTGAATACCTTTTGTTGAGCACTTAACTATTCATAAAGAAATCATTAATCAAATGGCAAGTCTTGATACTATTGACAACTTTATTGATGGTGAATTTTGCACCACTGATGACTATCTTGAGAGCTATGATCCATCCACTGGTCAGGTGTGGGCCAAAGTAGCAAACAGCTCGCCTAAGGATGTAGACAAGGCAGTGCAAGCTGCAGAAAAGGCTTTTCCCCTGTAAGTGTGTTACATTGCATTATAAGGTTTTAACAATTTAATCTGCTGTTGGATTGGCTCATTAAAAGAACAATACGTAACAAAAGACTGAAGCCAGTGTAGTAAGAAAAATGATATCAAAGCTGGTGAGGTTTACAATAATCAATAGATTTACACTAAAAATTCTGAAATCATAACCACAATATCAAAGCTATAGATATGAGAAAAGTAAACATATATACTAACTTAAGCACTTGAATATGTATAGTAATAAAAGGTGCAAAGAGTAATCCTCACACATACGGTTAAAATGTTAATCCACACAAGTAAGGGAGAGGGGGAAAAATAGTAATCCACACAGGAAAATATTAATCCACACTAGTAATGGAAATGTAAAAATATTTATCCACATACAATGGTAAATAGCTCTTGCTATGTCTTGCTCCAGTCTGTTTGAAACACAATTAACCGTCTTAGTTATAGTAGGAGACAGAACTTCTAGAACAAAATCATACCTTGTCTAGAAAGGCACATCACATGTGTGAGTTGTGCATGTGAGAGCCCTGCATCTCATTAAGAGCTTTCACAGTCACAAACCCATGTTATCTTTCATAATTCTTGTCTTGAAATTTCTGCATCTTAATGAACAAGTTTCCTAATCAACATGTGGCACATGTTCATAATCAAGCATGTGGGAGATATAGTAGTGTGTTGCACCAAATTAGCTTGTGGTGTCACAAAACAGCAGAGAGGTGATAGACCTGAGCTGTAACAAAGCGTAAGGTTTAAAAAAAAATTCTCAATCATATCATCTTGAATGTTGTGAGGGGGACTATAAGGGGAAATTATGAACTATTTATTATCTCTTATGTAAAATAATGTAATACTTTTTGTAATTAAGCCGCGTGATTACTTTCACAGTGTTGTAGATTTATTTCAATATTAAAACCAAATAGTCGAGTCTTGATTTAAACAATGCATTAAGTCTTTTATTTTTTCAGTTTTTTAATTTTCTATAAGGAGGTTAACACATAACTTTGTCAAGATATCAAGAAGTTTTTTTTTTTTAAAACCAAAACTGAGTGGCATGAACTACAATATCTTAGCACTTTAAGAATTACATTTAGCATCCTCGCCAATAACTCAGGTGGTCTGCTACCTCAGTGGATCAAAGGTCAAAATTATTGCTGAAGATAGCAGATCTGATCGAAGCAAGACTTGATGAGTTTGCGGAAGTTGAGTCACATGACCAAGGCAAGCCTGTCGCACTTGCAAAGAAAATTGACATTCCACGGCTTGTACACAACTTCAGATATTTTGCTACTTATGCCCTTCATGACGTAAACAGGTACGTAAAAATTGGATCACTTACAAGATATTAATTATATATTTAAATATGTAGAAAGGTGGAAGAAAAAGTCACTCACATTTATCATTTGGATGAACATTGCTAGGGATAAAACATTTTTTTTTGAGGACTGCAGAATCTGATTAGTTAGTATCTGACCTTTCTTGCAGGAAAATTGTTGAAGTTTCTTCATTATTTAATTTAATATTTACTTAATTTGCATGAATTTTAATATATATAGGCCGTATTAGGTGAATCTAAAAGTGATTTAATCATCTGTACAAATTTTAAAAAATGAAAAATGTCCATTAATCTGAAACTTAAGATTAGTGTTCAAATGTATTGCAAATACTTAGAACTCCCTGCCTATTAACTTAGCATATCCCTTCCAAATAAAGGCTGAACAACTTTGTTTCCTAATAGCTCCTCCATTCAAATTGATGCCAGTGCCACAAACTACACTGTGAAATGTCCTGTAGGTGTCGCTGGGCTGATAAGTCCCTGGAATCTGCCACTTTACCTGCTCAGTTTTAAGATTGCCCCAGCCTTAGCTTGTGGAAATACGGTGGTGGCCAAGCCCAGTGAGATGACCTCGGTGTCCTCTAGACTTTTGTGTCGGGTCTTTCAAGAAGCTGGTAAAGTTTATATCAGGTTATATGGTCACTGGGGATGGTTGAATATTCCTGTAGATTAGTACCTGATCAAACTGCTTTTTCTCTTTACTTTGTACAAACTTACAGAGTTTTGACCTGTAAATTAGTATTATTGCCATAATTTTTCTTTTAAAATAATTTGGATGGAAACAAAATGAAGAGGGTGAACACTTGCAAAAAAGCTTTATGCGATTCTTAGGTAGGATAAGAGCAATGATTAAATTGTGATTAGTTTAGACTTTGTACATGAATCATATGTAGACCAATGATGTTATCCTTGTAAGCATGTTTAGAGGGGGTCATGTTTAAAGTGAGGTGAGTAATGAGGCTCAGAAGAGATTTCATTTTTGCATGAGATCAGTACAAGGTGTACATCAGTCATTTTGCGGTTCCAGCATCAGAGGCATAAAGTCTTAAGAGTCAGGACACAGTGCTTGAAGAGCTGTAATAAAGGGAAATGAAATCTGAATGATCATGAATTTGATTGTATTTATTTAAATCCTTTAAGATAGTGAGGTAATCTTTAAGATTTTGAGGGGAAAAATTTTGTAATTGTGACTTCTGCCCCGTGCTAATGTTTCTGAGACCATTTTTAGTTAGTATTATATAATGTGACTTGTGAACTACTTGTTTACTTTTTACTGCACAATAACTCTGTGTGGCCTGATACCCTGGTGTTGGATTTTTTTACCCTCCAACAGTGAAGTAATTTCAAAGTAATTCCCCATAAAGCATCTCCTAAACATGAACATACTGGGGGGGGGGGGTATTGGGGGGGGTGGGGAGTGGAGAAAATTAATTATTTGAATTGGCTTCAATAACATGATTATAACAAAGAAAAAAAATAATGTAAACTAAATCTATGGAAATCATATTTCATACTTGAAATTAGCAGGCATTCAGTGAGATTACGTTGATTTCAGGGTTGCCTAAAGGTGTTGTGAACATTGTATATGGATACGGTTGGACTGCGGGTCAGGCGCTAGTTGAACATCCACGTGTCCCTCTCATATCGTTCACTGGTGGCACAGCAACAGCTGAGGTTATCCGCAAGAGCGCCGCACATCTGAATAAAAAGTTTTCCCTTGAGGTATGTCTTCTGTTGACTAGCCACCATTATAAACTATTTCTGCTGCATGTCTGGCCTTGAGAGCTGGCCCAGTAAAGTTATTCTCTAAACATGCTGGTACAATGTTTTAAAAATGTTAAAATTGAAAAATGTTTCTGCTTCAGTTAGGAGGAAAAAATCCTGCCATTATCTTTGAAGACTGCAACTTTGAGAAGTGTGTGGAAACAACCATCAGGTAGTTATTTCATTGGCATTGGGGTCATACTTAATTCTACTTTTATTAATGAGGCAGAGAATTGAGGGGAAAAAAACAACTTAATTTAAATAGTTAAAAAATGCGTGGGTACATAATTTTAAACAAATTAAAAAAAGTCTCAACTAAAAAATTTAGAACTAACTCATCAGGATTCTTATTTATTTTACAACGAGCCTGATACTATCCTAGTTTTACTGCATGATATTAGTTAATTGATTAAAAAAACTTCTTAAACTAGTTCAAATGGTGATCCTCTTTTTCTGTGCAAACAACCAGTTTTTTCATTGTTTGAGCCAAGAATTTTATATTTCAATTGTGCATTCATTGACAGGTCCAGTTTCATAAATCAAGGAGAAGTGTGTTTGTGTACAAGTCGGATTTTCGTGCAGAGGGGAATTTATGAAAAGTTTCTTGAGGCCTTTGTGGCTAAGACAAGGTAATCTCTACAATCAATTTGACACTTCTGATTATTTTTTTCTTTTGAAATTTAAAAGAGAAAATTTGAAGCTAATCAACTTATTTTATGACTAAGGAAATCACTGACCAATTTATCTGGTGTTAAATGAATTGCATGTCTTTGTCTTCATTATTTTATTGGGTTTCTAATCCAGGTGTCTTTTTCAGATCTTTGATTGTGGGTGACCCCAAAGATGCTAATACATTCTGTGGAGCCCTAATTAGCAAGCAGCACAGGGACAAAGTCATTGGATTTATCGATGAGGCAAAGAAAGGTGGGGCCACTTTGAGGTGTGGCCACAGTGTTGAGCCTTTAGAGTTACCAGATAGGTGCCAAAATGTGAGTTAAATTAAGCTTGTGTATTTTATGTTCAGCTATTATACATATGAACGTATTACACGCTTAATTTATATTTGAATGCTGAATAGCCAGGAGCAAAATGTAAAAATAATGTAGTCATTTCCTTAAGGTATGAAAGTTAAGGCAACAATTAAAGTAAACTGATATCAATTAACTAAAAATAAAAAATTGTACAATTTATAAAGGCTGAGCTCAGACTATTGATTTGAAGAATAACAAAAGTCATGCAAAAACTTCTTACACTTAATTTAATGAGCTAAGGAAGGAGATGTATTTTTTTTTTGAGATGTGAAAATATTTAAATTTATTTAAAAAAAAAATATTTGCAGGGTTACTTTGTGCGTCCTACTGTAATCACAGACCTACCTGACACTGCACCTGCCATGACAGATGAGATATTTGGACCTGTCACCTGCGTTGTGCCGTTTGATGATGAGGAAGAGGTAAGTTGGCTTTGCCAAAAGGCTTTACTGACTATTTTTTTTTTCAAGATAAAATAGGTCCTAGCTGACGATCTGATAGCTGATCTTTTAACCTTTCAATGCAGTGCATCCTGGCTGACACAAGGGATCTGATAGCTGATCTTTTAACCTTTCAATGCAGTTTGAGCACCTTCCTAGCTTAGAATAGTTCACGGGGGTAATTTTGTGTATACACCAAATCTCATTTCGTTGTAACCCTTTTTAATTAATTTTTCTTCTCATACTGCTGTCTTTGTTGTCAAAAGTTGTTAAACTTTCTCTTTACCTCATATCTGCAAGTGCAAATGTTAATTTAAGCCGCTGTGTCATATTTTACATAAACATTGCAAGAGACAGGGCCAGCACCTAGGAAACTCTGTGCCCCAGGCAGCTGGCAGAGTTCGGGTCCCTTCCGTTTATCAATCATGAGCATATATTTTAAAAACTCGAAAAAAGGCCGGCCCCTATCTAGCGCGGGCCCCTGACAAGTGCCATGGTTCTCCCTTCCTAGGTGTGGGCCTGCAAGAGACAATAAACTTCATGAGGGAAGCATTGTGTATACTTTCCGTAGACTGATAACTGGAAATAACTAGCACCCTTGTCAACTCCTAACGTCTTCTTGGATTGATTACATTCGTCAGTTCTTTCATACGTTGAAGCGTCGTACTATTCTAACTATCAATTAACAAACTCAACTCCTTTTGATAATAACTATAACTTTAATATCTAAGTAAATATAATAAACATCCTATCACTCCAAGGTTCCACTCAAGACTGCCGCACGACTAAAACATACGTCACAACACTGCATAGACAATACGTCACGACTCAGCATAAAAATACGTCATAAAGACAATGGCGGGAAGAGCGTTCACTAACTATAATAGTCAAGCGCGGGAAAAGCGTTCAACAACTAATGAACATAATATTGAGTCGCAACAATTCCTAATGAACGCTCATACTCGACATATCCCCCCTCTTTCATTTCAGATTTTACTCAGGGAGTGAAATCGTCACCAGACATACAAAATTTACATCAATTACATCAAGAAGAACCCTTCAGCCATATGAATGGTCCTTATCAAAAAACATTATTTAGGTATCACTGAAAATCAAACAGATTTATGATATACTGCAATAAAATAAACAATCCTTCGTACATAATTTTAAATGCAATTCAAGAGTTAAAAATTCATGTACCACAATAAAAATCAGACCATTAAAATTGAATGTCAACATTAATTTTCATTTTTCATACCAATAAAAATAATTATATTTGTATCTCAAAAATCCGGGCAAATACATCAATATCCTTACTGAATTTGCAACTATAACTAAGTTAATCCAAATCATATCATCAAAAAGGTGTATTTTTAAATAAAACCAATGGTCATCACTATAGAAACACAAAACTATCTAACATTATTACAGGTGAGAGATGCCTCACCACAATTTGAGCAGCCTTTATTTGCTCTTAAATAACACAGCTACAGATGGCGGGACATATCTTTTGTCCGTGGATTTCACAACTTTATGCTTCAACATGTTTATTATAATTAAAATTATCTCTCCCTGTTCTTTTGACCCGTGGTCATAACTCATGTGAAATCTCAGTTTTACAATACATATTTTTAAATTGTTACAAAATGAAAAACGAGTCTCATAAAAAAGAAACTCAAACAAATCAGGAACTTCAGGGCAATCATGGTAATAGTTCATTTTAACAGATTCATTTTGTTTAACAATACAATCAAAATGCTCACCTCCCAACTCATGGACCTGACATCTCACCTCCTCTTGAAAATCATACACAAGTGCACCTTTAGAGCTGGCAGCGCTCTCTTTAACACTTTCAACATTGGTTTCCAACATAATGTTAGAGCACTCCTGGCTCTCAAAATCCGGACAACCTTCATTCACATTACTTAGGAATTTATTTTCATTGCAACTATCTGTAACATGTACATTTGAGCAGCCCTGGCTCACATTTACAGGTGATTCATTATCATTACAACTATCCGTAATAATATGAAAATTTGAGCAGCCCTGGCTCACATTTACATGTGATTCATTATCGTTACAACTATCCGTAACAATATGAAAATTTGAGCAGCCCTGGCTCACATTACCTATTGATTCATCATCAATACAGCTCTCTGTATAAAATTTTGAGCAACCCTTGCTCATAACAACTTGAGATACATTTTCATTGCAGATCTCTGCAGTAACATCAAAACCTGAGCACACCTGGCTCACATTATCAACTAATTCATATTCATTACCAGTACATATCTCTGTAAAAATATCAACATTTGAGCAACCTTTGCTCACATTACACAGTGACTCATTTACATCACAATAATTATCAACAACAATTTTCTCTCCTTCCCCCACCTCAGGGATTACACTCACCTCATCACCTTTACACAAAAAATCAGACACTTTAACTTCAGGACTTACATTATCTGATGGCTCACCATGAGATACAACAAAAATCATGTCCTCAGACATTAGAACAGGGTTCTCTTTGATTTCAATGCCGCCCGTTTCCATAACAACCAGTTCATTACATACTGTGGCGCTGGGACAATCCCCTACATACGTCCACCTAAGGTCATTTCCAATGACTTCTACCTTATTAAATTGTCGTCCCCTTTCTTCTTTACATTGGAATTCCTGGGATACACCAACTACTTCAACCTCGTTTTGACATGAATCTAAAGCTATATCTGTACCCTTTGCCACTGGGGGTATGTCAACACGGTCAACGGTGTCCTTTTTAACGTTAGCCGACGGATCAATTAACAAATCACTGTCATTTCCATTAAAAAAAATTGAGTCGTCAGCAAAGGCAATAATATCATTTTGTTCCTCAGTATCTTTAGCCATGAACTGTGGTTGCGAGGCCGGCTCTTGCCTGGGGTCAGGATCATGAGTATGTCCACCGTTATCCACATATTTGTTTTCACTTACATTAATAGAAACTCTATTAAAATTTTTATAGGGATTCTCACAGTGAATGCTGGCAATGCCATAATATATTTCTTCCTCTTGACTCTCGTCATCGTCACTGTCGCTATAATAATATGCCTGTCTCTTTAAAATAATTTCCCGTCGTTCTGCCTTTAATTTTGCCAGTCTAGTTTCTCTATCAAGTTTATCTAGTTCAAATTGTCTCTGACTCTGTTTATCTCTATCTATACGTTCTTTCTGTCTCTGTCTATATATACGTTCATTCTCTCTCTGTCTACATATACGTTCTTCCTCTCTCTTTCTATCTATACGTTCTTCCTCTCTGGCTCTAAGTTCCTCCTCTCTCTCTTCCCGTACGTGTTCTTCGAACTTAACTCTTATATACTCCTCTAGGTTCTCTCCCGTATAAAGAAGTAACACACCCACATGCCTAATTTCTTCTAAACTCCATTTCCTACTGACATATCCAGCCATAGCAATGCAAATTAAGGCTTTTAAGGGTGATCATACAGTAAACAAGAATTAGGTTTAAGGACCAATCGCAGTCTGTTTAAACTAACTCTAGCAAAAATCTAAGTTCTACCCAGGTAAAAAAAATGTTAATACATCAGTCATAAGAAAATTAATGCCAAAAATGTTTTAAACAATAAAAATCCAACTTGCCTGGTTTGTGGAAAGTCCTATAGAATTTAAATATTATTCAAAACACACACTGGGCTTAATTAAGTGTCAATGGTTCTTTACTGTCAATAGTTCTCTCACAAACTTCAATTGTCCTATATGGCGATCTTGGGACACAGTCATTGAGGTGTGGGTGACCGGGACGGGTCACGGGACATCGGCAGCTCACTGGACAGAATGTAGGCGAATCGCCGACACTGGACAGTTCGTGGGTAACTCACCAATACAGGATCGGGCATGTGCAGCTTGATGCAGGACGGGACGTTGGTGGCTCGTTGAAGCAGGACAGGGCGCTGTTCAACTGGGTGACCGGGACGGGTCACGGGACATCACAGCTCACTGGACACGAAGTTGGTAGCTCACTACCGACAGGACGTAGATAACTCGATACAGGGAAATGCGTAGTTAATTCACTGGAACTCAACTGGACGTTGGCGACTTGACGAAGGTCAGGGCTGGGTATTTCACTGGAACTGAACACGAAGTTGGTAGCTCACTACCGAAGGAACGTAGATAACTCGATACGTGGAGGGGCGTAGTTAACTCACTGGAACTGAACAGGACGTTGGCAACTTGATAACGGACAGGGCGTAGTTAATTTGCTGTAACTGGACACGACATTGGTAACTTCATACAGGGCAGGACGTAGTTATTTCACTGGAACTGGACAGGACGTTGGCAACTTGATAACGGGCATGGCGTAGTTATTTCACTGGAACTGGACACGAGGTTAGTAACTTGATAACGGGCAGGACGTAGTTATTTCACTGGAACTGGACAGGACGTTGTCAACTTGATAACGGGCAGCGGGGCCCCGACATTGAAATACGGGAACATGCCACGATGGTTGTAACTTCACTAAAGTTGAATAATGAGAATGTTCTTGTACTTTACCTCAAGTATAAAAATAACGAGGTTCACCAATCCCGGATGAGAAGCCCCCATGTCAACTCCTAACGTCTTCTTGGATTGATTACATTCGTCAGTTCTTTCATACGTTGAAGCGTCGTACTATTCTAACTATCAATTAACAAACTCAACTCCTTTTGATAATAACTATAACTTTAATATCTAAGTAAATATAATAAACATCCTATCACTCCAAGGTTCCACTCAAGACTGCCGCACTACTACAACATACGTCACAACACTGCATAGACAATACGTCACGACTCAGCATAAAAATACGTCATAAAGACAATGGCGGGAAGAGCGTTCACTAACTATAATAGTCAAGCGCGGGAAAAGCGTTCAACAACTAATGAACATAATATTGAGTCGCAACAATTCCTAATGAACGCTCATACTCGACAACCCTCTTTTGCCTCAGTCCCAAGGATTTGCAATATTTTCATGTTTAACTGTATTGAAATTCATCTGTTTTCCTTTTAGACCACGTGATGCCATGTAAAAAAATATTGAACATGTTAAAGAGAGATCAAGACTATGCTTAGTTTGTGTGTGTTGAATACATCATGATACTTAAACCCCACCTCCCCCCAAACCACTTTTTGAATCAACTACCTAGTTGGATATCATAAACTTTAAGGCAATATATATATATATATATATATATATATATATATAGAGAGAGAGAGAGGCATCAAAGAAATTTTCTGTTGAGTTTGTGAAATGTTAAAGTTCTCTTGTTTTATTCAGGTTATTGCTAGAGCCAATTCTGCCCGTTATGGACTTAGTGCCACGCTGTGGACAGAAAATGTGTCAAGAGTGCATAGGATTGCCCCCAAGCTAGATGTAAGTGATGCGCTCCTCTGACTAATAACTTGTTTGATAACTTCAATATCGAGTGTTAACATCAAATATTTGAACAAATATTCAAGATTATTATTTTTTTTTAAAATGAAGAATTTGATTAATTTTTTTTCCTCAGTGTTGTTAACTCTTAAGATTGTTAATATTTATTTGTCATATCATCGAACAATTAAAAATATACTTGCTTATGGTTTAAAAAAAATGATGTGTTTAATTTGGTGCTAAGGATGGTATGGTACTTTGTTTCAGTTAAATGTGTTGTAATTTTGGCAAAAAATTGTTGCAGGCTGGAACAGTTTGGGTGAACTGCTGGTTGGTTCGTGACCTCAATATGCCCTTTGGTGGAATGAAGGATTCTGGGACAGGCCGGGAAGGTGGCAAGTACTCGACAGAATTCTTCACAGAGGAGAAAACCATCTGTATTCAGCATTAGATTACAGTCTCTCTGACACATTCAGGCTGCTGATTTCAAAGTTATTTCAGTGGGTCAGTTATTTCAGTCGGTCAGTTATTTCAGTGATTCAGTTATTTCAGCAAGCAAAGCATGAATTATGTTAAATTGATAGTTCATAAAAGTTTATGGAGTTATAAGTGATGAATAGCTCATGCATTTATATGTCAATACTGGCAAATTCCAATTTACGTCTGCTTTGTCTCACACATGTTTTCATATCACCCTTACGACATTGGTTTGAAATACTAATTTTGTCTCATTGTTTCAATGGAAAAAAAAAAAAAAAAAAAAGAGAGATACAAGCAAAGAAATCTGATTTTAAACTGATTATAATTTGTGTTTGGTCACACAGTGTTGGGGGTCTGTGAATATGTGTGTGTGTATTGTGGGGGTTAGTACACATTGTATTTGTATCTGTTGTTGTGGATCTGTGTATGTGTATTTGTATGTGTTGTTTGGGGATATTTGTATGTTTGGTTGGGGATCTGTGTATGTGTATTTGTAGGTGTTGTTGGGGATCTGTGTATGTGTATTTGTAGGTGTTGTTGGGGATCTGTGTATTTGTAGGTGTTGTTGGGGGATCTTTGTATATTTGTATGTTTTGTTGGGGGAACTGTGTATGTGTATTTGCATGTGTTGTTGGGGATCTGTGTTTGTGTATTTGTATGTGTTCATTAAAAGAGGATAAACAATGCATACATTTCATTATTTTAAATGTATGCCGTGGACTCATTAAATCTTATTAAATTGTTGTAATTTGTCTGCTCCAAGCTATGGTTAAACATGTTATTATTTTTTAAATAAAAATTGCTCAGGGTTTATAGTATTATTGTTTTAAAATTTAATGTCACCATTAAATTGTTCTGTTGTTTTATGTTTAAAATGTCCATTCCTGATATGTTGCCAGTATTGATTTATTCTTATTTTCATGGTTATTTACCAGGACACATTGTATATACATTAAAATATTTGTGATTTATTTCTTAAAAGGTCTTCACAGGAAACATTGACTTAGATATATTAATATATCAATTGAATTTGGGGTTTTGGGAAATACTAACCAGATGCCTCTTTTATGTTGAACACACCCCCCCCCCTTTCCATTGTATTGTATGGTAGAGGTCATAGTCACACATTTTTTGAACATTTTATTAGACTTGTATATGTTTCAAAGTATTACCCTTTCAATTGAATTTGGGGTTTTGGGAAATACTAACCAGATGCCTTTTTTATGTTGAACACACCCCCCCCCCCCTTTCCATTGTATTGTATGGTAGAGGTCATAGTCACACATTTTTTGAACATTTTATTAGACTTGTATATGTTTCAAAGTATTACCCTTGAGCATTTTGCCAAATGGAACTGTGCCCCAAGTCCTTTTTATAGCTTTAGGCAACATTCAATTAGATTTATGATTAAATTGCTTGGATTTGTGTTTTTGGAAGGATTAACCAGATGTCTCTTTTGTGTCAACCCCCTTCATTGTATTATTTCGCAGAGTCTGACATTCGTTTAAATCTCAGATGACTTCTGACATTCTTGAACATCTCAAATGACTTCTGACATTCTTGAACATCTCAGATGACTTCTGGCATTTTCTTGAACATCTCAGATGACTCCTGACATTCTTGAACATCTCGGTTGACTTCTGGCATATTCTTGAACATCTCAGATGACTTCTGACATTCTTGAACATCTCAGATGACTTCTGACATTCTTGAACATCTCAGATGACTTCTGACATTCTGGAACATCTCAGATGACCTCTGACATTCTTGAAAATCTCAGATGACTTCTGACATTCTTGAAAATCTCAGATGACTTGTACAATGTGTAAAAAGTATAATCCCTGAACATGTGCCCAGTGGAACTTTTATCTTTGGCCTTACACTATTGAAATGTTGGCTCTTATTAGTGTGATCAGCTTTATTTGATCTTCCTATGCAAGACTGATCAAATGAATTATAAAAACAAGGTATGCCAAACTTGAATTGGTAAACAGGACAAAAGATTTTGATGAAGGCTCTAAGCTGATACGTCAAAATCTTTTTTTCCTGTTGACCAATTCAAGTCTAGCATACCTTGTTCTTATATTTCATTTACAAAACCTGAATGCAGTCCATCAATTATTATCTTTTAAGACTGATAAAACTGGTATTGACATTTTTTAAAGTCATAATTGATAACTTTTGTATTTTACATATTCAGTTCATGTATTTTATTTGATTGATTGATGCTATCAAATTTAAGTGCAACTAACCCAGTGGTCTCCACTGTCTCACAGTAAACCCTAATAAATACATTCTCGAATGAAACATTGGTCAGCTTCAATCATTCACCAAGACAGACTCTCAAGAAAACTGCCAGCCCAACAGGCTAAGTGACGAGCCAGAATTGGAAAGAAGACCTTTAGTCTTGTCCAGTCATGTATATGGATGAGTAACTCTCACCACAAGTATTACAGAATCAAAAGTTCATCACTGTCACTGTGGTAAACACAGAAAGAATGTCATAGATTAAATAGTGTTACCTTTTTAATACTAACAAGACTGTTAAAAAAATGTGTTCTCTGGGGGAGTATCTGAGATTCCTATTCATCTAGTGATCAAAATGTTCTCTTACAGTCTCTGACTGAAACTGATGAAATATTTTACAACTTGAGTATGTTTCAATTATTTCTTCTGAATGAATCTTTCGTGCAATTTTAATTGTTTTTTGTTCAATTTAATTTGTAACGAACTAATCAGAGTATTATCTGTTATTAAATCAGCTAAATAAAGAGGAAGGATATTTTAATAATTGTTTTTTTAAACTAGTTTTTATTACATAAGTTAAAATATGAATAGCCAGATTAACACAGTGCCAATGTTCCCTTTAAGCTATCTCACAGACACTTCGCAGCAATTTTGAGTATCAAATTTCCATGTAAGTTTGTGTTTGTGGGCTTTAATATTTGGCTGCATCTATAGGTACCCGGGTACCTTTAATCGCAAATAACTATTCGCACCCGGAGTGGATCCGTACAGATTAAATGGCTTCGGAGCCGAGTGTGATAACAATGATAATTTGATAATTATTTTTTTAAATTGTTTTTTCTCCTTGTTATCTCATAGATTCATAGTTTTATTCTTTTTAGTTGGTTTTCTTTTTGGCTATGTTAATTTCTCTTAGGACGGGTAGATTTTTTTTCTTTCCTATTTTCTTTTTTAGTTTAAGCCATTGTCGTAGATCATTTTTTTTTTTGTAAATCTAGTAATGAAGATGATTTAGATACTAAATGATTTAGATAATTTAGATACTCCACAGCCCCCTTCCTATGCAAGTGCATTGACTTTTTCTCGACAAACTTTCCTGCGGGCGCCCATGGTTGTTTAGCTCTAGTTTGATAGATGGCACTTAATTATTTAGATGCCACCTAAGTTGACTCTGGTTTGTGGTGAGTAAAATGAGAGGCAGTGTTAGTGATTTTATGTATCTGGATGGAACCAAATTGCTCTATTATTCATCTGTTTGCAATGGTGTTTATTTCGCTACTGACATATATTTCATTACTTTCCCGCTTTTCGCCTCTTAGTCTTAGTAAATCACCAGCTATTTATTGAGAA